TTACACAATAGCAATAATTTAAATGAACAGTAAAATATGAATTTTCCAACAATAAACCATTTTCCACAAGTTCTTGTAGAGTCTCATACCTCCACAAGCTCTTGTAGGAAACTAATTCCACATAATAACAATAATCGTTCAATAGTGTCATCTCATATTCTCATGTATGTTGGTTGCTTCTCATGAATCCACACAATGACTCTACCTCGTTCAACCAATCATAACCACACAAACCACTTTAGGAAGGGCGTATATCATCTCCCACGGCATTGATGAATCCTTCCCAAAAAAGGTATATCATCCATACGCCTCGAACTTACGTGAACAAGAATGGTTGCTCTTACAAGAAACAAATCACTACAAATGTTAAGAAACCATCTCACCCCTACTGGGATAGACTAACCTCTAAAACCCTATGGCAGTGCTCGAATGTAATTCAAGTCCATCACAACAACCATACAAGAGATTCAATTCCAACCAAATTCTCAAATCATAAGTAAATCATAAATCTCCAATTTTATCGGTATTTTTCTAATAGAACAATTTAAGAAATTAAGCAAGAGATTTTCACAAATACCATTTTATTACTCAACACAAAGCACTAGAGACCGTAGGTTTGTAGAAAGGTTCTCAAAGCTAGCAATGCCAATGACCTGCCTTATGAAGAAGTGGGAAAGATTCTTGTAGACTCAAGAATGTGAACTAGCCTTTTGCACCTTGAAGGAAAGGTTGACAACAGCTCCTATCCTCATTATTCTTAGCAGTGGGGAAGGATATGAGGTTTACACAGATGCTTTATTATGAGGCTTGGGATTTGTGCTAATGTAGGGAGGTAAGGTAGTTGTTTATGGCTCGAGACAACTAAATATTCATGAGTAGAACTATCCCACTCACAAGTTGGAGCTTGCTACTGTGGTTTTTGCTCTTAAGTTGTAGAGGTGTTACTTGTATGGAGAAAATTTTAAAGTGTTTTTTGATCATAAGAGCCTCAAGTATTCATTCACTCAGAAAGACTTGAATATTCAAAAAAGAAGGTGGATTAAATATTTAAAAGATTACGATTTCACACTCAACTACTATCTGGGGAAGGCTAATGTAGTAGCAGATGCACTTAGTAGAAAGTCTTGGGGTGAAATCAATGTTCTTGTTGTTAATAGGTGGAGGATCATTGATGGTTTGGAGGAGTTTGATCTATTGGTGGATAGACAAGGGGATCGACCATGCTTATTTAACCTTGTAGCTCAACCAATTCTCTGACAAAGGATTGTAGAGTTGCAACGTTTAGATACAAAGTTGGGAACTATTTGGGGTAAATTGGAGAGGAATGAGATTGTTGAGAACTGGTCTATACATAATGATGAGTTACAGTTTCATAGAAGATTATGTGTACCAAACAATGACCAAGTAAGGGAAGAAAGGTTGGGGGAGTGCCATCGTTCAAAATTTTTCATACATCCGGGTAGTACTAACATGTATAGAGATATGAGGCATCAATATTGGTGGAAAGGATGAAACAAGACGTGGTCAAGTACATTGTAAAGTGTGCAATGTGTCAACAGGTAAAGATTGAGCATCAAAGACCAGAAGGTTCGCTCCAATCCTTACCAATTCCTGAGCAGAAGTGGGACCATGTTACTATGAATTTTGTGTCAAGATTACCCAAGAACGTCAAGGGTCATAATGCAATTTGGGTGGTAGTTGATAGATTGACAAAGACCTGCCCACTTTATACCTGTTAAGATCATAGATAACTTGGCAACATTGAGCCACTTATACATTTTGGAGATAGTGAGGTTACATTGGGTACCGTTGTCAATTGTGTCGGATCGACACAGTCACTTTGTGGCTAAATTCTGGTAGAGCTTACAAAAGGCATTGGGAATTGAGTTACATTTTAGTACATCCTTCCATCCTCAGACAGACGGACAATCTTATAGGGTGATCCAAATTTTGGAAGATATGTTGAGGACATATGTTCTTGACCTCAAATAGAGTTGGAGTGAACATCTTCCATTGATGGAATTTGCATATAACAACAGCTATCAAGCAAGTATTGGAATGGCCCCTTATGAGGTATTGTATGGAAGACCATGTAGGTCTCCGACTTGTTGGTTAGAAGTTGGAGAAAGTAGCTTGTTTGGACCAAAAATTATTCGGAAGACTACTGAGAAAATTCAACTAATTCGGGAAAGACTACGCATGGCTCAAACTAGACCAAAAAGCTATGCGGATAAAACAAGAAGACCATTGGAATTCCAAGAGGGGGACTATATGTTCCCCAAGGTGTCGCCCAAAAAAGGGAGTGTTTAGATTCGGCAAGAAGGAAAAATTAGCCCCAAGGTATACTAGACCATTTGAAATAATCAAAATTGTGGGTAAAGTGGCGTATCAACTTAGGTTACCAGCCCAATTGTCAGGGGTACATGATGTGTTCCATGTGTCAATGTTAAGAAAATGCCAATCTGATACAACGCATGTCGTGGATTTGGAGGAAATTGAAATTCAAGACGGAGTAACATATGAAGACCAACTGGTGGAGATTCTAGATACCAAGGAAAAGGTGTTTCGTAATAAAGTAACTCAACTGGTGAAAGTCTTGAGTAAACATCATGGGATGGAGGAAGCTACCTGAGAATCAAAGCTGGAGATGCGATAGAAGTACCCTCATTTGTTCTCTACTTTAGTAAGTTTCGAGTACGAAACTTTCTTTAAAGGGGGTGGATTATAAACCCTTACATTCTTATCTTTATATTGTAACGTAATTATTTTGAAATGCTTATATATGTAATGATGTAAGCATGAACTATATAGATTATAAGAGTAGAAATAAAAAATGTTAGGTGAGGTAATAGGATACGTAGTAGAAGAACGAAGTATTCCGGAATAAAAGCACATTTTAGATAGAATTTAGATACGAAGAATTTTGACACTGCCTTAATATTTGGATCATAACTTTTTATCCTGATGTTCGTTTGATCTGAAATTTTTACGGTAGATACTAGACTTCCAGAGCTACAAAATAGTATTTTTCACAAAAAATTTTCAAATCGATCTCTAAATGGGCCAAAACTTCATTGGACGTTCAGCTAAAAGTGGGAGTCCATTTGAATGTGAGAATTCGTTCGAACAACAATTTGTCCCAGTACTTTGTGCCTGACAAAACTCTAATGGAAAAAACAAAAGTATTGAGAGCAAGCAATGTTCGAATGCCAAATGACGTTCGAACGTGAGTTACGATTCAGAGTATCAAATTTACACTGATTGGACTCTTTTCTTACCCTATAAATACATAAGATGCCTCTCTTAACCTCATTTCTAACCATAGAGAATCTTGGAGAGTAAGAAAGAAATCAAGAAACACAAGATTGAAGGGGATTTTTACATTGAATCGGATCAAAACCTCTAGTTTTTCACACAACACTAAGGAAGAAAAGTAAGGATTTCTTCTTAATCTTGTCTATTGAGGCTAGAGTTTATATATATATGTATGTTTTGAGTAAAATTATAGTTTGATAGCTATAAAATCCTTATCTTTGATCTCAAAACCCATATTTTTCAAGAAATTGAGATTTTTCCCTTGATATTCCACTGTTCTTGATTCAAAAAATCTAGTGTTTCATTTGGAACAATAAAATTTTATCTTTTGATGATCTCTTGCTTATTTTCTTGAGTTGTTATGTTAGAAAAATACATGTGGAATTTGAGGTTCTTGATTTACTTGTGATTTGAGAAATTTGTTGAGTATTGAATCTCTTGTGTGAATGTTTGGATGAACATGGGTGACCGTTGATTGGGTATCGTAGAGTAAGTAGATGTGTTTCTTACTCCGATTGTGTTTGAAGGTTCTCGACCACTATTAGTGGGATTGGTGTCTTGGAACGTTTTTTTTTGCAACGTTTTCTTTCGTCGTGTTTTCTTTCGTCACGTGTTCATCACAAAAAGTGTTTTGCGACGCAAAAAAACGATGCTAAAATTTGAAAAAACGTAGCTAAAATCTATTCAACCAGCATAAAAAATTAATAATTTACTTAATTTTTCGCAACGTAAAAAAATTGTCACAAATACTTTTTTCATAAATAAAAATGTTAAAAATAATAATTTAATTAATTTTTAGCGACATAAAAAAATTGTCGCAAATAATTTTTTACTTAAATAAAAAATGTTAAAAATAATAATTTAATTAATTTTTAGCGACGTAAAAAAATCGTCGTGAATAATTTTTTACATAAATAAAAAATATAAAAATTAAAAATTTAATTAATTTTTCACGACGTAAAAAAATCATCGCAAATAATTTTTTACAAAAAATAAAAAATGGAAAAAAACAATTGAATCAATACATGTGCGACATATAGAAATGGTCACAAAAAAATTGTTCTTACAATTTTTCGCGACGATTTTTAATTCGTCGCAAAAAAATTTATTTTTTTTTATTTTACATAAAAAATGATATTCCAATAAAATTTTTTACATGTACACCAATAATACCTGTGTCCAATAAAAAACCAACACAATTAATACATTTCACATCTTTTTAAAAAAAAAACAATTTTATTTTCAAAAAGAATGAATTACAAGAAATTCTAAAAATAGAAAAAAAATGGCTTTAATCCTTCAAGAGGATTTAAACCATCTCTAATTACAATTAATGTCTCTTAAACTTGAATAGTCTCAGCAATCCAGCTCCATGCTTTGAAATACCATCTTCAAGCTCAACACTATCCAGGATCTGCATAATCAAAAACTGACCACCGCACACAACCTTTCTCCTCCTAGCAATAGGGATCCTGGACTGATCCTGATGCAAAATCAACCTTCCATCATGTGACAGAATACCACTTTCTGAACAATCAATGAAAACAGAATAAGAGTATTGAAAGAGAGAGGCAGCATTTACAATGAAAACAAGTGTTGATAAAGTAGCGTGGATAAACTAAGAGAAAATCAGTGCAATGGCCTTTGCAGTGCTAGCCAGTATCACAATTTTAGAAATGAGCAACTTATCGCAAAAGCCTTTTCAGCATTTGTTTCTGTGATTACCCCTACTGCTGCATTTGCAGTCAATATCTTTAGGATGACCTATTAACCAACAATAAGCCTCTTCAGGAATCTCCTCAGAAAAAAATCATTGTAACAAAGATCAACTTTAACCAATAAATGTCACCATATCAACTACGACGCCAAGAGAGAGAGAACCATAACAAGGACATATTGTATGATCAATCACAATGCATACAATAAGCTCGAATTTTTATAGAAACGACACGTGTAATAAATATTAAGCAGCATGTACACAATCAAGAGGTGGATATCAATTTTCCACGTAGAAAGTTATTGCATCTTACAGAAGGCTCCCAAAAGACCTTTAATCTTGTCTCTCCATCAACCAATGCCAAAAGGAAAGAAACAACAGCAGCTGCAATCAAAATCTTAACCAGCAAATCATCAAATTGCTTCAGAACCAATTTCTAGAAAGGAGGGCCTGCATTCATTTAAACATGGGTAAATCAAGAAGGGAGTCACACAAAATTAAATAAGCGTGTGATTTTTCATTTCTTTATCCTTCACCATATCATCTACAGCTGTGTGCATCAGTTGCTAAGCAAAATGAGCAAAATTCTTATGACATTTACGCCATTGTTGGACAATATCATTTCCTCATGAATACAAGGAAAATGCTGATAAATTCATTTGGACAATTGAGTATCAGAACATAAGCAACTGTATTACATTAGAGTAAGAGAAAACTCTAGTTGTTTACCCTTATGTACCGTACAAATAAGTCAACCTGGGAACAAAATTGGGACCCTAAAACAAGGTCCAGAAACTAGCAGATGCTCTCTATGTCAATGCTCTTATGCTTCTCCTCTAGAAAAGAAAAAACAAATAATGAAAGCTGGATAGCAGCACAAATAGGAAAAAATTTGAAGTTTGCCAACATTAGACATGAACAAACAAGAAATCCACAAACCTGTTAGACAATATCGAAAGGCATAGGAATAGAAATCCAAAAAATTTGATGGCCCCCTAACCTTTTGAGAGAAGGAAAAATACGACAGGGAAAAAAAGGAAAGAAGGAAAATACAATGGCAAAATTAGCACTCTAAAATTATCTTTCCCCCACCACAAAGCATCCAATACACATATCATCAGAACCTATCATGATCCACTGGTTAAAAAAGAGTACATCCTTCTCAAGCTCTGGAAGTGCCTTCTTTAATTTGATTATTGTATCAGCCCGAAGTGCTTTAAGGCCTCTTCACCACTCCTCCTAGTATACATTATATTGGTGGAGTCATATAAAGGATGAATGTGTTTAAGAAGTAGAAAACAAAACAAGAAAATAAAAGTACACATAAAAAATGATAAGCATTGACCGAGGTCTAGTGTAAAATGAAGTTTCTTAGCAAGTTCATAGATATGTACAACAGCAGGCATGTTGGCCACATATTTCATACACAAGTCCATGATGTGACATGTTTAGTACTAGGGCCTCCAAGATATCTGCTGCCTTTACAAGACAGATGCATTTACAATATGGTCGCAGGAGAAATGTCCATAATAACTGAATGAACAAAAGATAAAGGTTTATCGATCCAAGGATTAATAGAATAAGGGATGCTACAATGTTTTCAAGCTTATAGACCTTACCATTAAGGTTTTGGCTAGTGAATCAGTATAAGTGAAGAATACAAGCTATCATATTTAAGAAGATATGAGAAAGTAGCGACAGAGAGAAGTTTTAATTAATAGGATTATTGAAGCCAATATCCATTGCATGGATAAGAATTGGATTACTTACAATGGTAAAGTATCCTTGCTTTTCAGCTTGCATTTTCCTAAAATCCAAGGTCCATCAGTACTGAATTTAAGGCCATAAATCAGAAACTGAAGAAGATGATGACTATAATGCCACTCACCAAGCAAGCATCAGTATTTGTACATTAGTATGATCCACTTCCAAATCTGAACAAAAAGCCTCGATTCCTTCAGGGCTACTCATGAAAATATTGCAACATTAGACAGGTGTGAGCAAAAATCAGCAATGTTAAGGGGAAAAAAACAAAAAAAATAGAGGGGGGTTCAAACTTCTTGTTCTTGAATTGAATGACAAAAAGAAGAAGAAAATTTTCATTAATAAATGAAATCGCTGGAATAGTCTCTGATCTGCAAGTGTACAACCAAATTAAAGAATAATCCATTCAACAAGATAAGAAAGTATTGTACACAATATAATCACACAAAATTAAGATGAGAGAAAATAAATATTTGAATGATTGCCACAGTAAATCACAATTTTGTACAGCATATCCAAGGAATTTATATTAAACGTGAAGCAGCACTCTTCAATTCTTAAGATATGACTTAAAAATTGCAGTTCCAAGGGCTGAACTTGCAGGGGGTGACAATTGAACCCCAGGAAGGTAAATAAAGATATCAGGTTATCTACAACAAGTCATAACAAATAAAGGCACAACTTTGCATGGCTTTCCATAAATCAATAACAAATGCAAGGAGATTTTCAATTTCAGACCCTTGTTTAGAGATTATTTCACTTAAACTTCTGAGGGAAACTCAAAGGAACATTTGATTCCCTTTGAAAGGATTATCCTCAATCCACACACTCCACATGGCATTCCCAGCTCCAAATTACGAAAGAACAACATATTTTCCGTAGTTGAGTTCATCAACAGTCAAACATTGTCTTCCTTGCATTCATCCTGGATTCTCTTTCTCAATCAAAATGTCTATCAATTGATTCCTATTCATTCGGTCAAAGTCTCCACAACCTTTTCATGCCCCTCTACTAAGAGGTGCACCATGTTGATAGGAATCAGCAAAGACTTTCTTGTACACGTCCTCGAGGGCAGCATTCATGGCAATCATCGCTACTTTCTCCAAAGGGCGTGGTAGGCTTTGTTCTCGGTGTTGTTTAATAGATGTCAGGTGTCGTTGTTCCCCGTCCGAGAATCTCCATTTGCTCTAAGTGGGGGCGAGCTCCTTATGTCAGATTGGTTGTTCAAAAGACTTTCTCTTTACCCTTTTCATCGTTCTCTTTTCAAAAGCCTAGACCCACAGCACAATTTCAACAGAAAAATGATGCTCTTTATCCTCCCAAACACCATAAAATGAGAAAGCCCATGCCTCACTTGAATATATTCCAATTAAACCAATTCACATGTCAACCGAAAAATATAATGCACTCAGGGGTTCACCCTTAACAACACCCTTAAAAATTTAATGAAATTCTGTTTTGCCAAAAATCCGATGTTGGCTTGACAAGAAATTTTTTCCGAAATTAAATCTTTAATTACCAGAAATATGCATTTAATCAAAGAACAAATCCATTCAGTCCATCCCAATTTTCCACTGGTTTAGAAATTGGGAGAAAGAGGAGGAGGGGAAGGAAGAAGAGAACAAGGCTCTGCCATGGAAGAATCAGAAGCTAGTCAATGTCATGTAATATGATGCATTTGATGGTTACATTGCAAAAAAAAATTGATGAGTTGGAGGAATTAGAAAGCAATTAAATTCGAGATCCATTTTTATTGCTAAAAACGTAGAAATGAGATCATATTTGGAACATTATGAAAACAGGAAGTAAGGGAAAAAGGAAATTAAGGAAGGAAATAGAAAATCAATAGCCAAACAGGGGTCTTCCCCTTCACAAACAAAATGTTGACAGAATTAGGAAAAATCAACATAATGAAAACCTTCCCCTTCACAAACTAAATCGACGACAATCAATGGCACCAATCAACAGATCCAACGATTCCAGATCCCAAAAACATGACTATTGAACCAAAAACATTACAACCCAAACCAGATCCAATGAGGAACCTTCAGTCGGTTCGCAGTTATCAACACAACCCAAACCAGGAACAATCAACAACCAACAACAACTTCATCAGTGGAGAGACCATACCTGCTTTGTGATGAAGACTTCAGTTGGTGGAGCTTTGCGATGAAGCCTTCAGTTCGGTCGGTGGAGCCTTCTGTGCTGTGGATCTTCAGTGAGAGAAAGAGAGGGAGTGAGGAGGATCTTCAGTGGGACATTGATTCTTGCTTTAATTAACAAAACACCAAGCAAACGAAACCAAATCAAATCAAAGATTTTTGTGAGCCACGATCAAATTTTTTAAACTTTCCTAACATGTTTATGTTTCATAACTTATTGTTAGGGTCACAATATTATCAATTAATTTTATTAGAGATGTAATTTAAAATAATTAATATTTGAAAGTAAAAATTAAAAATTTTATCTCTTCGCAATGCAAACTACCATTTACCTTGATAATTAAGACATCTCTACGGTTTTGGTGTGCATTCCCTAATAATAAGAAGACCACGGCTATGATTAGATCAAATTCAGAGTAATTTAAAATGATTTGAACTATTAAGAGCAAAAATTAATTTTTTATGTATTTTACAAGTTGAGATAAATGTTTCGTTTGGTAGGTTGGATAAAAAAATGTGATAGAATACATTTTATTTGGTATTGAAGAATTAATTTTTTATTATTTAGTATTGAAGAAAAAGTGGGAAAAAAAAAAAAGAAGATATGAATGCTTAAGGTAGAAAGATTGTCCCTCTAATTTTTATTTTCTTCCTATTTTTTATTTTTAACCAAATAATGGAAAGTCTTTTTTTCTATCCTATTTTCCGGCCAACAAATTTTTCATCAAACAAAACACACTATTAAAATCCTAGAATAATAGGGCTCTTGAAATTGTTGGATCCAAAAATGTTTTGAAGGAGTTTGGGAATGCACACTATTAATTTTTTATGTATTTTCCAAGTTGACTTTCCCATGTGTTGTTTACTTGAATCTTGATTAAGGGTACCGGTGAATTTATGCCACTTTGGTTCGTAAGGGGAGGGGAACCAAAGAGAATAACGACGAAGAGGAAAAGAAAGACAGTACTGTGTGTGTCGACTAAAATAAACAAAGAGGTAGAGATGGGAAAGTAAGAATGAGGGAAAAAAGGATGGGCAAGTTTGCTAATATCCCCGACGAAACATCACTAAAAAATAAAGGGTTAATTGCACAAGAGGTCCCTAAAGTATGAAGTTTATCTTATTTTGATCCCCAATATTTCAATTGCATCATTTTGGCCCCTAAAGTATTAAAAATATTTCTATATGGTCCCTTAATCAGACAATGTCTAGATTGCTAATAATTTTTTATCACAAACTTGCCAGATGATACTTAAATGTGGATAAAAAATAATTTGGATAACTGCTGACCAAATATCTACTCAAATTTTAGTTAGACATCTACTTAATTTACACAGTTTTGATTATGAGTTATCCAAATTTTAGTCAAAAGCTACTAATATTACATATTTTTTTGTCAAAAACTACCCAAATTTTGTTTAAGAGCTATTAAAATTATTTTTTGTCTATATTTAACTATTACGTGACAAGTTTATGATAAAAAATCGTTACCAATTTGGACGTTGTCTGTTTGAAAGACCATATAGAAACATATTCAATACTTTAGAGACTAAAATGATGCAATTGAAACATTGGGGATCAAAATGAGACAAACCTCATACTTTGGAGACCTCTAGTGCAATTAACCTAAAAATAAATATCTCCTACGATTTTATAAAAAATGACCCAAATAAATATTTTTTATTTTATTTTGCATTAATAACTAAAATTTATATTCTGCGACGACAAACTTAAAACGTCGCAAATTAAATATTTTGACTTTATTTTAATTTTACATTATTTATTTTTGAGACGAACTAAGCTATCTATGACAAAAAAAATTTTGTCGTAAAAAATAATCAATTCCCACCATTAAACAATTTGGGAGGAAATCACCTTTTCGCGATGTAATTAAAAAAATGTCGCGGATAGTATATTTTTTGCGACGAATATAAAAACGTCGCCAATTAAATTTTTATTTTATATTTTTATATTTTTTATTATTTAATTTGAGACAAATAAATTTTGTCGTACAAAAAATTTCATTTCCCACCATCATTCGTTCCAAAACAAAAAAGGGGATGGACTCACATTTTTTGTGACGAACTAAAAAAAGGTCGCGAAGAATATTACAATAATAATTATTTGCGACAAATTTTTTAAAACGTCGTGGATAGTATATTTTTGGCTTGGAAAATAAAAATGTCCTGAATTAAAATTTTATTTTATTTTATTTAAATTTTTGATTATTTAATTTGCGACAAAAAAAATTTGTTGAAAAAAATTTTCATTTCCAGCCATCACTCGGGCCAAAGAAAAAAGGGGAGGGATTCACATTTTTTGTGACGCATAAAAAAACGTCACGAAAAATATTACAATTATAATTATTTGTGACGAAAATAAAAACTCCGCGAATTAAATTTTTATTTTATTTTTTTAATTCTTGATTACTCCAGGAAAAAAGGGGAGGGACTCACATTTTTTGCGACGAAAAAAAAATTTCAAGAAAAATATTACAATAATAATTATTTGTGACAAATTCTTTAAATCGTCGCAGATAATATATTTTTTGCAACGAAAATAAAAAAACGTAGTGAATTAAATTTTTATTTTTATTTTTTTAATTTTTGATTATTTAATTTGCGACAAAAAAAAATTTTGTAAAAAACATTTCATTTCCCGCCATCACTCGCGCCAAAGAAAAAAGGGGAGAGATTCACATTGTTTGCGACGCATAAAAAAAACGTTGCGAAAAATATTACAATTATAATTATTTGTGACAAAAATAAAAATGTAGTGAATTAAAATTTTATTTTATTTTTTTAATTCTTGATTCCTCGGGGAAAAAAGCGAGGGACTCACATTTTTTGCGACATAAAAAAAACGTCACGAAAAATAATAAAGTAATAATTATTTGCGACAAATTTTTTGAATCGTCGTAGATAGTATATTTTTTACAACGAAAATAAAAACGTCATGGATTAAATTTTTATTTTATTTTTTTAATTTTTGATCACTCACGCCAAAAAAAAAAGAGGGGCAGAGACTCACATTTTTTGAATATTA